CAATCATCAGTAATCTTCAGAGATCAAACCTCGAAACCAAGAAGAATAAAAAAAGGGGTTCCACAAGGTGGTGTTCTCTCCCCCTTACTTTTTAACTTCTACATCTCGAAACTCCCTCAGCCACCTGAAGGAGTTTCCCTGATCTCGTACGCTGATGATTGTTCGATTTTGGCGTCTGGGAATGGAATTGATGACCTCTGCTCAAAAGTAAACGGCTATCTCTCCAGCCTTTCTCGCTTCTTCACTGCAAGGAGCCTAAGGCCCTTATTATGAGCCTCATTCGATTTTCGATCTTCGCTGGCTATCGAAAATCGAAAGTGAAATTCGTATTATGAGCTATGCAAGCGTGTCGAAATTTTCGTTGAGTATCGAATTTTCTGTCGAACAGAATTTTGCTTTCGATGGTGTAGCGAAGTGTTAGGAAATTGTGAAAAATGTATGATTTTGTATATGTTTTCTTACATTTTGGCGGCTAGACACTAATTTTAAACAATTTTTATTAATTTCATGCAGTTCTAACATCGTGAATACTAAACACAAGCTCGAAAGGCTGCTTTACTTGTGAAAGAAAATCCCAATACTCTGTTGGCACGATCTCTGAGACAAAATCGTAGCGCTGTTGATAGTTTTAAAATATTTTAAATAGATTTGGTTCACAAACGCCTCTTTAGATGGTCGGAACTTTTTAATGAATCTGTAGACAAATTTCTTAAATATATTTTATATCAAAATATATTCGAAAGACTAATAAACTTAAACTCTCTTAAACATTTGCTACTCCTGGCCAGTTTACTAAGCTCTCATCCTCTGACGAATCGTTGAACCAGAACTCGTACTCATTTTACCACGTTGTTATAAACTTGCTTTCTTTTTTACTTCATTTTAATTAGAACAAATTTACATAAATATGTATAAGCACACTATTTAGTTTGCTCGATTTGTAAACAAAGCTTCTCAGCGGTGAAAAATATACTATTGTGAACAACCTAAACGAGCGAAATTCACAATAGCGACATTCTTCATCGAATGAGCGCCATAATACCAAATGAAAATTCGTTCGCTCAGCACTTTCGACCACAGTCGAAAATCGAATGCGACTCATAATAGGGGCCTAACCCTCTCCCCAACGAAATCAACGGCGACCCTCTTTACCACCTGGACGAAGGAGGTCAGGCTTGAATTAGGCATTCACGTCGACGGCACACCCATACCGACGGTGAACAACCCGAAAATTTTAGGGGTTACCTTTGATAGCCTGCTCTCTTTCTCCGCGCACACAACCGCAGTTGTCAACAAAGTACAGAGCCGCAACAAGGTCCTCAAGTCACTCGCCGGCAGCACTTGGGGCAAAGACAAAGAAACGTTGCTGGCAACATACAAGGCAATTGGCCGGCCGGTTCTAAATTATGCTGCGCCAGTTTGGTCGCCGGGGACTAGTTGGACGCAGTGGATGAAGCTACAGACTTGTCAGAACGCCGCACTCCGGACAGCGACTGGGTGCCTTCTGATGACGCCTGAGCATCACCTACACAGTGAGGCCCAAGTGCTCCCCGTAAGGGAACACAACAAGATGCTCTGTAAGCAGTTTCTTGTGGGGTGTCACAGAAGTGAACACCCCAACAGACCACTGCTGGAGGAGGAGCCTCCGCCCAGGCACGTCAGGGGGCACCTATTCATGTACAAGGACGCAGTCCAGACCCACACAGACCAACCACTGGACCCAATGACGTACAGACGAGCGATCAACGACATTCATAGGGCGTCTGTCTCCACCTACCTCGACTCCCGGCCTAGGAATGTCGTTATCGGAGCCCAATCACCACCTGTGGAAGAGATAGAGCTTCAGTTACCTAGAGAGACCCGCGTTACCCTGGCTCAGTTACGGTCTGGATGTTGTAGCCGCCTAAACAGCTACCTGTCCAGACTCGACCCAAACATTCCAAATGAGTGCCCGGCATGTGGAGACTTCCCCCACGACACCAACCACCTCTTCACATGCCAGCTCAATCCGACTCAACTAACACCCCTCTCCCTTTGGTCCGACCCCATCGAAACAGCTCGTTTCCTGGGCCTACCGTTAGTTGAGCTTGACGATAATGATTAAAAGTTGACCCGAAACAGGCGGGGCTTAGTAGTGCCGCTACAACAATAACAACAATTAACTTTATTGTACAACAAACAATTTACATTACTCGCCACTCGCTTTACAAAACTTGTTAACACAATTAAACTTATAGCTTGCTTATTCTCAACTCACTTTACTTGTAGCTTGCAGACTTGTAACTAACTCACTCCGCTGTGTGGTCATGGATAACTAGATATGAAACTCTTTTTCTCGTGAGAGCGCTGTCAAAGTGTGTATTTTTGTAACATTCTCCAATAGAGTGTGGTGGCTCTTACAGGCTAACCTAATATTCACGCACGCCGCCAATTTATTGTCAAAAAATTCTCATGCACATGCAACTTGTATGAGATCAACCGAAATTGAACGGCGTGCGTATGAAGCTAACTCAATTTCCAATTTTTGTTCTGCGTGACATTTTGATTTGACGTTTCGCTCAATGAAATCAAACGCAAACGCATGCAAGTCAATTTCGGGTGACGCAAAAAAACAAATTCGACGGCATGCGTACCAAAACGCAAGCCGCGAATATTAGGTTAGCCTGTTATATACCCGCGCTCGCACTCATGGCAAATCTAGAATGTTCTGAAGTTCATCGCTCATTCTCTTTCTCTCGCTATTCGCAATGTTCATCCAACTTGTCGTTTCTCTTTGTTGAACATTCTACTTCATTCCTCGAACATTCTGCCTATTTCTCGTTGATCGTTTCGCGTTGCCGCAGTATTCGCCACAATATGAAATCACAGCGTTGTGTTGTTCTTCGGAGGACTGTTTGGAAAACGAAACGACTGTTGATTGTCGAAGAGGGGGATGGAACACCTACGTCGAAGACTGTTGTTCTGAATTTAAAATCAAATTGCGATATACACGTGCGCAATTATCTGTGTCCGTTTTATAGTTGATCCTCTTGTCATTAGGGGTGTTCATTATGTTCAACATTTCCAAAATAAAGCGTTTATTATAATTCTTTTCTTCTTGAAGAATGGTAACATTATCAAAATCGGGATAGTGTCCCGTATCCATGCAGTGAGCTGACATGACCGTCTTACTGTCCGTTGAATTGTTCCTTAAGCTAATATTTGATTTGTGTGCGGAAATCCTTGTCTTGAGTTTAGTTTTTGTTGCCCCCCCCCGTATACCCGTCGTCATTACATGAAATTTTATATATCAAGTCCGATTTCTCGTACCTTGGAATAATGGGTTGTATGCATAAAACCTAAGCAAATGCTTTTTCTAAAAATTTCAGATCATTTACTCGATTTGTTCAAATAAATTTAAGTGAAAGGTTTGAAATTTTAAGTTAAAGCAATTGCTTAGTTTTTATGCATACGGCCCAATTTCTTTGGGGTTGCTGTAAATTTTCTTTAGTGTATTGCTGTATGTGAACGGTATTTGGACCTTTTCTTTGTCATACATGTTGGAATGTTTGATCCTCTCCGATATACCCGGAACATATGTAGTGGATTTATATATTTTGTTCTCATTATTGGACTTTTCTGAAGTGGTCCTGGTGCAAAGGTTTTGAATGAGCTTCCTAATTATGTACGACGGGAACTCGATCTGTTCCAAAATTTTGTGGATAGTATTTTTGTTCTTTCTATGAAAAATCGTATCGCTGATAGTGAAGACCCTTCTTATGAAATTGGAAGCAGTATTTAAAATTGTTTTCTTCTCATGTTTTGAGTTGTAATTAATTAGTCTCCCTGGCGACATAGGTTTGGCATACCAGTCAATATTTAATTTGTTGTTCTTCCTAATTACTAGGGTGTCCAAATAGGGTAGTTGTCCATCTTCTATTTCTATCGTAAATTGTATCGTCTTGTGCTGGACATATAGCTGGACAACGTCCTTGTACACGAATAGGTGCCCCCTGTTGTGCCTGGGCGGAGGATCCTGCTGTAACTGGCGGGTGTTCGCTTCTGTGGCACCCCACCAGAAATTGCTTACAAAGCATTTTGTTGTTGCCTTATTTGGGCCTCGCTGTGTAGGTGGTGCTCAGGCGTAATAAGAAGGCACCCCACCCAGTCGCTGTCCGGAGTACAGCGTTCTGACATGTCTGTAGCTTCGTTCACTATTCCCCGGCGCACAAACTGGTGCAGCATAGTTTAGAACCGGCCGGCCAATTGCCTTGTATGTTGCCAGCAAACGTTTCTTTGTCTTTGCCCCAAGTGCTGCCGGCGAGCGACTTGAGGACCTTGTTGCGGCTCTGTACTTTATTGACAACTGCGTATGTGTGCGTGGAGTAGGCGAGCAGGTTATCGAAGGTGACCCCTAAAATTTTCGGGTTGTTTACTGTCGGTATGGTATGCCGTCGACGTGTATACCTAATTATAGCCTGACCCCCTTCGCCCAGGTGGTGAAGAGGGTCGCCGACGATTTCGTTGGGGAGAGTGTTAGGCTCTTTGCAGTGAAGAAGCAAGGAAGGCTGGAGCCAAAATCGAGCAATCTTCAGCGTATAAGATCAGGGAAACTCCCTCAGGTGGCTGGGGAAGCTTCGAGATGTAGAAGTTAAATAATAAGGCGGGGAGCTTCTTGTTCCCTGCAAAAAGGTGTTCATCCCCTCTTCTTCGGCAACACAGAAAGGAGAATTCTACTTAGTGAGGGTTATAATACCTAAGCTAGGCCGAAGGTCGCCTACGCAGAAAGCTGTTCTCTGCAAAAGGTAGACAGCAATTTATAAGCTCTATCGACTCCTTGGTTTTTCTCGCCAAACGGTGCGTATTTTTTTATTTGTTTTGAATCTACTTATAAAAGAATCAAACTTAGCTGCGGAAAGAAATATTACTCTGATATACGAAATTCCCGTATAATGAACTAACACAGATTTTAAGTGAATCGTGGTCGTAAGCACTGACCAAATAATTTAAGTAACGAAATATACAATGACTGTTACAAACTTTAATTACTCAAAAATATCTATATATTAAACATGTACTATTTTTCACGTCAGTCTCTATTTATGGAAATACACCAGTTTTTAAACTTGGCAGAATTCCAAGAATAAATTACTTGCTACGCCTTTCATCTTCACTGTCAGATGACGAATTAACATCGTCCAGTTCCAGAATTTTTTTGAAGTCCTTAACTTTTATTTTAGCCGGAACGATTTGCAGCAGGAACTCCAAGTTTTTCTCCTTTTGAACGTATTGCGACAAGTGCTTGTATTTAAGATTATTATCCTCTTTGACTTTTGCATAGGCCTCCTCAGTTAACTTTTGTACAAACATTTCCTGAAACACATATTCAACAGGATTTTTCTTTGTAAAACACAAAAATTATGTTTCACTTTTCGGGAAAGCGCAAACAGTTGTTATACTCACCGTGGCCTTAGTCATAAGAAACAGCACTTCATTTGTTATTTGTCCGGTGTTTAGAGAGCTTTTCATAATTGTTCTAATTCGGCTTAGAGGTAATTCAGTCTCCATTTTTCTCAATCCGACGGCTTAAACTTGTAAATATGTTTGGTACACATGCTACTTTTTTATCGATTACGCGAAGATCGATTATAAGAGAAATTCACTTCAAGGCACATTCATACAAGGTGATGTCGTTAGAGCTGGTGGAATTACATACAGGTGAAGTCAGTAGACCACCTGATATACAGTTCAATTGATAAATATCTTCGCTATTACTCAACTTTTTGCTATAGTTGAGACATGAAAAGATAGAAAATTAAAATATCTTTCAGAATTATAGGAAAAAAAACTAATTTAAATGCATAATATGCCTTTTTCTCGAGCTCACACTCAACTGTGTGCGTACGCAAAGCATTCGCATGTGAACGTCAAGTTTTGACAGATGTGTGTGAGCGTCCATAAGAATACAAATGGGTTTATTTGCCTTCGCGGACGTTCACGCTTAAGGCCCGTTTACATAGAACTTTGGCGTTGCGTTGGCGTTGGCGTCGCTTCAACAGCTGACTATGAATACATGAATTCAAATGCAGCCGTCCACATAGCCAAAATTCGACAACGCTCACGCCAACACAAAGCAAAAAGATGGCCAACTCTCAACTTTTCGCGTGCGTCGCTCGTCAGCTGTTGCGAATAAATAAAATTATGTGAAATATTTTTCCTTTTTAATCAAGTGCGGGCAAGAAATATCGTTTTTAATGCAATTATTGATATGAAATATTAATTTATCTGTCGTTAATATGTTAATTTAGTGGCCCAAGGATTCGCCGCCAAGCGTTCATTGTAGCAAGCATACTTTTAACGTGCGTTCTGTCAAACCAACGCCAACGCCAACGCAACGCCAAAGTTGTATGTAAACGGGCCTTTATACGCTCACATTGAACTGTATATCAAGCTTCATGATGCAATAATACAAGGTGTTATCGGTTGGCAACTTCTCGCTCTAATTCCACCAGTCTGGCCATTCCACCATTTTCTTTGCATAATAATTGAATTTTTAAATTTTGTTATTTTTTCTCTGTAAACACATTTTGTTTCACACAAGATCACGCGGGAAGGAAAAAAAGAAAAAAGTTATTTTCTAGCTGCCGAAATCTCGACGCCATCTTTGTTGTAAGAAGTAAACAAAGAAGAGAACGGAGAAAACCGCGAAATTGCTGAACGCATGAATAATCATTTTTATTATGCAAATTCTTCTATAAATCATGCCGTTGTGTTAAATTATTCTTTACCTTATGTGTACACACGTTGTCACAGGGCGAAAATGAAGAAAATTGCTGTAAAAAGTCACCACCAAATTGTAAACAACGAAGAAATTTAAACAAACGGCTATTGTCAAAATCGTTAAACTTTTTTCCTAAATGCGATTCCAACGGGTTACTCACCTGCCCGCGTGATCTTGTATTTTTGGTTCATAATTAGAAACTAGCCCAGTAAAATTAGATCAAATTGTTACTAAGAAAAGAAAAAATTTGTAGTAGCGAGCTTTTGATGCAGTTTACTTCTATTTAATATTTTATGCCAAAAATACTAATTTGTATGCAATTTTAATGCGAATATTAACTTTTTCACTAATTTTTCCCCATAAAATGTAAACAAATAATGCGTACACCAAGAATGATAGAATACAAGATTGCGCCGTCTTGGCCCTTGACATTTGCGTACCATAAGTAAACAAAGAATAGAGACAAAAGTAGAACGAGTTGAAACTTTCAAAACAGTTCACTTTACAGCGAAAAACGTGTTTTAATTTTGATCAATGCGAAAATATTGCATTTTTCATCTAATCTATTGGAGAGTAGTGAACATTTTAGTGCACTCCATGCTTTGCAATTAAGGCTGCTGCAGCAAACGTTTTAGTGTACTCCATTGCTTTGCAATTAAGGTTGGTGCAGCAAACTGCGCCAGCAACTGAGTGGGATTGATTAGTTAACTTGCTAAAGGAGGCTGCTTGGAGCAGAAGCGATATGACTGTGATAAAATGCTGTCAATGGGCCGTATGACTAAAAATAAGCAATTGCTTTTTCTTAAAATTTCAGACCTTTCCCTCGATTTATTCAAAGAAAAGTGAAGTAACAGGTATGAAATATTAAGAAATAGCAATTGCTCAGTTTTTATTCATGCGGCCCAATATAGTAATAAAAAAACATTTCGGGAACGGCTTTGCCGCGCCCTATACAGGGTGTCCCAGAAGTATCCTGCCAAACTTGAGGAGAAGGCAGGTGGGGTGGTGAGCTCTATAATAAACAAGAAATTTTCAGGTAAAAGTGTCACCGTTTTTGAAATATTTAAACTTTTTTGAATTAAAGAAAAATCGTGCCTTTTCATGTATTTTCTTTAACTGCATCTACAAACAAGGCTATACTTAGTAAATTTTTTATGTAAAATACTTTCAGATAGTTGCTTCTCCATACTCAAATGCAATGTAGTTAAAATATATTAAGGAACCATTATAAAATTAGGACTATATTGCGATTTTAAACTTTTTGATATTTACTTCCCCAAATTTGACTATCTCTGGTGAAAAAAAAATGTACTGAGCTATAACTTTACATTACATAAAAAAATTGGACATTTAATAAAGATTTTAGAAAGGTGCCACTCTTACTGTTTCGAATAGAAAAAAAGTTATAGCCGCTTTTGTGGGTAAAGGACTTAGACACGCTAGAATGTATTTAATAGATTTAAATTTAAGTTGGTCTTGTTACCGACCAATGACATGCATGGTACATTATTGCTTGCTCCTGACATTATTTTGCGTTACTTACCGGAAATAATGAAAGTGGATTTTGTGGAATTGGACCCTTCGAACATTGTGTTATTAATACTATGACAGAGAACACGCAGTATACGTCGGTGAATTTACGGTGAAGCTTGCTGTAATGCCAGAGCTGCTCAAAGCAGCAGAGCGATACCCCAATCGTCGGCATCCGGGCCGTGAAGTATTCGCCCGGACCCAGAGAGAAATATATGAATGTAAGTGATTTTTACACCTTTCTTGTTTGAAGCCATTCTTCTTTTAACTATCATTTTTAACTTTTTTAAGGTCGCATACCTGGAAGGCGTGGCGGCGAGACAGGACGTCCTGCAACGGTAGATGTTAAAGTTGTGTTAGAGGAAGTGGAACTAGGTCCATCGACTTCAGGGAGAATGATGGAAAGACGGACTGGAATACCAAAAACTACAGTTCACAAGGCTTTAAAATACCATCCCTACCACATTCAACGTGTTCAGGCTTTACAAGAGAGAGATTACCTGTCGAGGGTTAGATTTTGCAGTAAAATGTTGCGAATGCATGATTCAGACCCCAACTTTGTTAATAAAATATTTTGGAGCGATGAATCATCATACAAACGTGATGGTTATTTTAATTTACATAACCTTCAAAGTTAGCAGAAAGACAATCCTCCCGAAATGAGATAAGATCGTTCGCAGTACCAGTACAAAATAAATTTATGGTGTGGTATTTTTAATTGTCAGATATTGGGACCTGTGGAACTGTCGCCAACGCTCAACTCCAACAGTTATTTAAAGTTCCTTCAGGAAAGGCTTCCAACTCTTTTAGAAGGTGTACCCTTAAACCTGCGGCGAAGACTATGGCAGAAAAAATGACGGATGTCCTGCTCACTACGGGCGTGAAGTAAGAGCTCATTTAGACGAAACTTATCCTCGCCGATGGATTGGACGATACGGGCCAATCTCGTGGCCCGCTCGATCGCCAGACCTGAATCCATTAGATTTTTTCTACTGGGGCTGTCTTAAGGACAAAATTTATTCAAAAACAATTCAAAACGAAGAGCATTTGCGGGAACTAATAAATGGAGCTGCTGCTGAGATAGCCCAATTGAGTTTAAGATCTCTAAAAGCGTATTTTCTTAAAAGATGCCTAGCTTGTATTTGATTAGAAGGTCGCCAATTTTAGCATATTTTATCAATAAATGCCATTGCATTTGAATATGGAGAAGCAACTATCTGGAAGTATTTTGCATAAAAAATTTACTAAGTATAGCCTTGTTTGTAGATGCAGTTAAAGAAAATACATGAAAAGGCACGATTTTTCTTTAATTCAAAAAATTTAAATAATTCAAAAACGGTGACACTTTTACTTGAAAAATTTTTGCTTATCAGGGAGCTCACTACCCCACCTGCCTTCTCCTCAAGTTTGGCAGGTTACTTCTGGGACACCCTGTATACACAAAATGCAGCGATTCGTCGCAGCGCTACGCATAATGAGATGGGGCACCATGGTGCACTTCATGGAAGGACAACAGCGCATGCATATGAAGCTGGTATCCAAATTGAATGGCTTAGCTTTCCCGCAGAATTCCACCCACTTTCTCTCCACGGCATCGTAGCGAGGAGAGGAAAAAAGCTGGATTTCGAGTAACTACCTTCACGGCTGTCGCAATTTAATACACGGCACTTCATTTTATCAGTTTTTACACACTCTTCAACTGAAAAATCACTAAAAAAATGCAAATTAACACGATTTAAACCGATTTTTCACTAATAATTCAAATTTCTCTATGCCACTGATTTGTAAACAAAAGTTTATTTACGAGTTACCACAACTGTCAAAATCGGCAAAACCGAAGTAGCGGTACTTCTGACGGCGCCACCATTGTTTCGCTACACCGTGTGCGTGCACAACGATTAGCAAACGACAGTGCCGTACTTATCCGTTTCTGCATCTTCTACGATTTGCCGATAACTAGCCGATAACGACAAGTGTGTAGATCTCCTTTGAAATGCATGTGCTCGGCTCAAAAATTTCAGGGCGAGACGATAACGCAACTATGATTGGACGACAAGTGTGCAGATAGCCTTAGTTTGCATTCTAGGTTCTTTGGTTCAATATAAATTTGTAGAGAATTTAAAATGAAATTGTTGATGTATGGCGAAAACCGTGACAAAGTAGAAATTTTTTATGAAAAATGCAAAATAAGCTTTCAAATCGCGATAAACCCAAAAAACATAAAATCCAAGATGGCGGAATGCTTCCATATGCAATTTAAGGGCAAGAGTATAGGTCCATGATCTACATATTAAATAGAAGTAAACTGCATCCAAAGTTCGCTACT